ACGAGACAGGCATCTGACCTCTAAGTGACCAAGGCAGGTTTATGGCAAGCACATGTTCGGCTGTTATGGCTGCCAAAAGGGAAGCTGGTTCCTTCACCAATACCAAGCTGTTTTTAGGACTATAGCTCTGTAATAGAGCTTGAAGTCAGGGATGGTGATGCCTCCCGAATTTCCTTTATTGTTGTTTTAGCTATCCTGGTGAAGGGACCAGCTGCCCCTTTCTCAGCCATGACAGTAACACGTGCTCGACATGACCTTGCCTTGGTCACTAAGAGGTCAGATGCCTGCCTCGTGGCAAGGAACCAATCAGAAGTTAGCTGGTGGCACTATATGGTTCTCCATATAAAATTGTGAATTGTTCTTTCAGGTCTGTGAAGAATTGTGTTGGGATTTTGAAGGGGACCCAGCTGTTTCTTTCTATAGAGCTTTGTGGCTAGTTAAGCAAAACTTGGTAAGGTGTGGATGTGGACGTGAGATCACATGGGAATTCAGGTCTGTGGGGACTGGAGGTTGACACTTCAGTCACTCTCCCTGTACTTTTTGAGATAGGGTCTTTCACTTGTTTGGCTGAACTGTGTCAGGAACAAGCTCCAGGGAACTTCCTGTCTCCACCTCCCCAATCTGGGGATTACAGCTTGTTTAGGTGAGCATCGGGAGATTCTGAGGGTACCAGGGATCAAATGCATATCCTTACACTTGTGCAGCAAACAATTCCTGAGTTATTTCCCTGATGCCCTTCTCTTTTCAAATTGCGGCTACAACATACCCATGTTCACACAAAAATTCTGGATATAAAACACTGGAAGGCTGATGAACCTACATTTTTAATTTCAACTGCCTTCTGGAACAAGATAAATCATCTTTCGGTCCATTCTCCAAAGATAATAGATTCAAAAGGGAAAAACAATAAATTTTTGTCCTCATATGCAAGAATATCTTGCATTTCTTAGGCTTAAATTTATTCAAGTTTATTTTGTATTCATTTAGTACATTCATTTGCCAAAAGATTATCTCCTAAAATATACTTAAAAGTTTAAAAGGAATGGGTGGCTAGTGAAGGAAGAGAACTGTGATGGTTTGAATGCGAATAGCCCTCCTAGACTCACACATTTGAATACTTGATCTTCAGTTGGTGAAACTGTTTTGGAAGAATTCAGAGGTGTGTCCTTGGTGAAGGAAGTGTGTCACTGGAGGTTGGTCTTTGGAGTTTTAAAAACCCACCAGATGGCTCTCTCTGCCTCCTGCTTGTAGATGAAGATATTAGGGTCTTAGCTTACTATTCCAACACCATTCCTGCCTACAGCCATGCTCCCTGCCATGATGGCCATGGGCTCACTTTCTGAAACTTTAAGTTCCCAAATTAAATACTTTCTTCTAGTGGTTGCCTTGGCCATGATGTCTTATCATAGCAATGTTGAAAAAAACTATTTGTGAGAGCCTGTGTAAGAAAACTGTGAACTTACTATGAACTATGGGTGGGGCAGAATGCATAATGTTCTTCTTACAGCCTTCTAGAAAGAACTGCATAAACCAAGGTAAGCAAATATACTTGAAAGTGAGGGCATGAAGGGAATGCCTAGGATGTCTCCGTCATCTCTGGGGGAAAGGCAAAGGCCTGGGAGGAATATTCTTGGGTCTTTTCACATGATCAAAGGTGATAGAAGATAACACCAGCCGTATTCACTCACTGTACTTGTATTTGTTTAAGCTACCTGTTAATGCTACCTCATACTTGGCTTTCTTTAATAATAAAAATGAGAAGTGTTTTGTTTGCCCTACTTTTGAGCTTAAAATGGTTATCACACACAGGTCTTTGGCATAACCTTCCATCGCAGGCAGAGAGTTAGCCTTGCTGGCTGGGGCCAATCGACAGCTAAGACAGGGACCGGTAAGTATACCCTAGAATGTCTTTGGGAGAAACTGTTGAAGTCGCAGACTTAACATCCTTTTATGAGATAAGTATCCTTTCTCTGTGCTCTCTATTCTAATAGAGGAAGTGACGTTTACAGTCACTACTCAGATAGTGACTGGTGATGTTTTTGAAAAGGAAATTTCAAACTCCATTTCAAATTTCTTAGAACCATTGAATTCTTTCTCAGAGCTGAATACGGGCAACTGGAAGCAAGTCATGAATAAATGAGTAAGATTTGGGTGATTATGTGCAGAATGGAGTAGAGGGGAATCACATGTAGTCTCAGGGCAGTAATAACTAGACCAAGGCCACAAGTGGAAGGAATTTCTGACTGAAATAATTAGGGGAAGGGTGAAAGCATGGTCCCTCAGTGACAGGGATTTCTTTTTTCTCCAAGGGTAGCACACCAGCGGAAAGCCTGTGGTCTGTCCTTTCCAGCACTAGGACAGACAGACCTGATTGCAATAGTCTCCCAGACCATGAGCCACTTCGTCTGGCTACAGGGTGATCCACACAGGAAGCGTAATACCACAAAGGTTTAGCTGTCACGAGAGGACACTAGTCAACACGGTGCGGGAGAGACAAGATCTGCCCAGTACTTGTGCAAGTGATAGATAGCATTCAGGCAGACATGGTGCTGGGGAAGGAGCTGAGAGTGGAGAAGGAGCTACATCTTGATCCACAGGCAGCCGGGAGAGACTGTCCACTGGCTGTGGCTTGAACATATATGAGACCTCAAAGCCCACCCCCACAGTGACACACTTCCGCCAACAAAGCCACATCTCCTAATAGTGCAGTCCCCATGAGCTTATGGGGGCCAATACATTCAAACTACCACAGTGGGCCAATGTGCATATGAGTGAAGATGCCTTTGGAGGCCTCATCCTGTGGAGCTGGAGCTATAGGCAATTGTGATGTGCCTGGCATGTGCTGAGAACCAAACTTGTCTTCTATAACAGCAATATCCACCCTAAATTGCTTTATAATTCCCCTCCTATTAACTTTCCTCTTCTATTTCTATTGGTTGCTATAATATTAATCATTAAGTCTTATGCAGCTTATTTTCTTTCCATTTTTACCCACAATTAACATCTTATACAAAACACACTATTGTTGTTTCTTTATTTTCCAAAGTTATTAGAATCGAATGGGTGATTGTTTTTGATTGGTTATTTTCCTATTTCTATAGCAGGTCTACATTTCAGTTTTAATTGCTTCTGCACTTAGTATTCTGCTCTCGGAGTGGTGCTAGGGACTGTGTATGATGCAATGTATGTTCCACCCCAGCTCAGTGGAGAGGAACAGCACCTCAACCTTAAATACTACATTGTCAGACTTGAATATTGTAAATACTCCCACTGAAAGTGGTCAAAAAAATGCAACTGTAACCTAAGACCTGATGTGCAAATCCCACTGCAGAGACACAAGAAACATGAAAAGTTGATAGGGGATGTCTTTCTGTATATATGCTTCCCTTATTGGTTGATGAATAAAACAGTTTGGCCAATAGAGGCAGGAAGATAGGCGGGACTAGGAGATGAGAAGAATTCTGGGAAAGGTAGGCATCAAAGAGATGTCATATGTGTTGGAGGAAGGAGTAACAGGTCCGGACCCTTCTCCAGTAAGATAAGACCATGTGGAACTACTTAGATTAATAGAAACGGGTTAATAATTAAGACAGAGCTAGTCAGTAAGAAGCCGTAGCCATCTGCCAACAGTTTTATAATTAATATATGTCTCTGTGTATTTATTTGGGGCTGAAGGGCTGTGGGACCTAGCGGGCAAGAAACCCCCAGCAACAAAAACTCAAGGCAACATGACTCCACCCAAAACAGCGAGTTCTTTAGTAATGGATTACATTGGTAATAATTAGATAAATTCCCAGATAAAGAATCCAGCCAGTTAGTTGTGGAGCACATCTTTATTCCCAGCACTCAGGAGGCAAAGACAGTGAATCTCTGAGTTTGAGGACAGCTAGGGCAACACAGAGAAACTCTGTCTCAATAAAAAAGAAGAAAGAAAGACAGAAAGGAAGGAAGGAAAAAAGAATCCAATAAAATGATCACAAGAATGCTAAGCAAAACCAAAGAGGACAGAAATAAAGTTAAATAGTTCAAAAATAATACAAATAACTAAGTGAAATAAGAAAATCAATGTAGGATATGGAAGAAGACTTCAATAAAAAAGAAGTACTGAAAGAAGTTAAGTTGATATTCAGAAATAAAAACCTTAGTAAGTGCCTTAGGGTTTCTATTGCTGTGAAGAGAGACACCATGACCACAGCAACTCTTATGAAGGAAAACATTTAATTGGGACTGGCTTACAGTTTCAGAGGTTTATTCCATTATTATCATGCCAGGTAACAGAACAAACACCAAGTGAGCCGGCCTGGAGCCCTGCCCCTGAGCCCCCGCCCGATGAGAAACACTCCATCCCAAGGTCTCTGCCCCCAAGGTAACATGGTGTCATGTGGGCAGACATGGTGCTGGAGAAGGAACTACATCTTGATCTGTAGGCAGCAGAAAGAGACTGTCCACTGGGTGTGGCTTGAGCATATGTAAGACCTCAAAGATTATCTTTACAGTGACACACTTTTTCCAATAAGGACATACCCACTTCCAACAAGGCCATACCTCCTAATAGTCCCTATGAGCCAAGCATTCAGACACATGAGTCTACGGAGGTCATACTTATTCACACCAACACAGTGAAAGACCCCTGCCCCTTAGCCCTTTCTTTCTCAAGTTTGTTTCCTCTTCCTCCTGTTGGCGGCTTCCCTGATCCCCACCCCCGGCGGCCTCCACTTCCCTGCCACCCGCCGCACGCCCGGCCCCAGAACGAGCACCAGGTGGGCCGGCACGAGAACGAACACCAAGTGAGCCGGCCTGGAGCCCTGCCCCTGAGCCCCCGGCCGATGAGAAACACTCCGTCCCAAGGTCTCCGCCCCCAAGGTCAGCCATCTGGACGCGGAGGGGGGAGGAATTGAGTATGTTGTACC